CATAAAACTCAACAGTAAGCAAGTTTTGAGAGAGAGAAATACAAAAACTGTGTTTTTTTTTCACTAATATATGGTACATAAAAATAAAACAAATGTATAAACTATGTAAAACAAAGACAAACCTTGGCAATATAAAAACAAAGTAGTGTTTACCAGGAGGGCAAGAGTTGATGGGTAAGTAAATCTAGTAAAAGGGGCCAACTCTGTATCAGTTGACAAACAAAAGGAAGTGTATACAGATGTTGATTTAAAACACTGTGTACAGGAAGCTTATAAGATGTTAGAAAACATCACTTCAATAAAAATGTAGTTATGTTCAACAATGAATAATATCTTTCTGATTGAATGAATTAATCTCCAAAAATAAATACAAATTATCCCCCAATATTCTGATGTTTCTGTAGAATAACATATCTACAACATCCATTATTTATTTCTCATAATTCTTCTGGCAAGGCTAAAATATAAAGGGCAATCTGCATCTGTAAATAATGAATAGGTGATGTATATTAATTTAAAGTTTAACAATATTTGAAAGGGATTAATTTTTAACATAGCAGTCACCATGTTTACATAAGCAATATTTAATTTGAGATGGTAAATGTTTTAAAAAGACATCATCTATCCAACTGTTCATTATTTGTTTATTAGCTCTAATACTTCAGAGAATTAGAAATTAAATGGCAAACACCTGCCTCATGTTGTTACTTTTAATTTTCACAGTGTTAATAGCATTCAAGATACACATTTTCTCATAATGATTTGAAGTTTTTAAAAAGTTAGACATTTGTTAGGTAGAGACCAAAAATTAGAATCTAATAGTCCAATCAATACAAGAGTTCAGTCATCTCATATGGTTATCGACTGCTTTTTGCCTACCATATATTAAACTCCTGGACGTGGTACAAACCAAATACAAAAATACCTGCCTTTGTTTGGTTATATATTTATGTGTTGGACGGGGTCATACAGTTAGAAAATGAGTGAATATGTAGTACATTATGCTGCACGACAGAAACTTACATAATTATGGAATTGTACAGCAAAGGTAGACATATTTGGGGGAATTACTTACATTTTAAGTAGGCCTGTAAGGGACTCTCACTGGTAAGCAGGCATACACCGATACTAAAGAAATTATTGAGAGGCTACCTGGGGAAAGTTTGTTTCAGGTGTAAGAAAGGGCAAGTGTAAAGATATAAATCAGGAGCCTTTCAAACGAACCAGAAGTAAGCTATGTGAATGGTGACAAATAAGTATGGGAGAGAGTGTTAGGGTGGTAATCTGATAATAAAAAAGCGGATTGTTATGTCCCATAGTTCTAAATCAGCCATTTTAGGAAACTCTGGAGACCAAAGAGAAATGCAGTCTATCAGAAGCCACCAGCTCCTACTCACAGCCCTGATCAGAAAGATGAACTGTCACTCCAAGGGCAACTATTTCTGTCACAAGTTCCAGAGTTGTAGGTCATAGGATAAGGAGGAAAAATATCATGAGGGCAGAGAAAATCATACATATTCTCATAAAAATTTGATTTTATGTGAAATTGAATGTGAATGGATTCAAGCCTAAGGGCTCTGTTAAAAACCACAGGGATTTCCATGACAATAAACAACAGGGAAGCTGGTAGCTCTAAATGGGCAGTAAGCAAAATCATAGGTCCACTAATTTTCCAGACATAGCCAGGGAAAGGGCAGTCAAGAAAAGCTAGGTTAGAACAGAACCCTCAGGCAGATTTCAGAGTTATTCTTGCATAGGAATTTGAATTTTATTAGAAGAAAGGAACTGTTTTCTCCCAGGGTATTATTAGAAACAATAGCAAAAGCAAGCAGCAAGGCTTGAAAACTAATATTTGGGTGTAATTTCAACAAAGACAGAGAACTTTACAGAGAGAAGAGATGAGTCAAAAAAAAAAAAAAAAGTCAAAACAAACCTTTCAAAAACAATGCCATCTCAGGGTTTTCTGACAAGTCCAATGTCTTGTTTTCTGAAGGAAAAGCATCCGAGTTTTTATTCTGTGGGGGAACCTATATATCATTACAATCTTGCAGCTAGATCAGTAAGTAAGTCAACAAGCAAGTAACAATAAAAAATCCAGGGAAATAGATTGTCTATAAATATAATATGTTATCTAAGATATAAAATCTAGGAAGTATGGTATACAAAGAGACAGAAAGTGCAACCCATACAAAGAAAAGAAAAGCATGCATCAGAAATTGTCCAGTTGTTGCATTTCCTAGGCAAAGACCTTAAAATAGCCACTTTAAATGAAAACAATAAAAAGTAAAGGAAGCTCTCATGGCAATGTATTATCAAAAACTTAATGTGGCAAAGGAATCGACTGACCAGTAGATAGGCTAGGAATATACAACCCAAAGGAAAGAGATATCAATTGTTGAAAGAAATACCAAGTTTCAGAGGTATGTTTCCCTATTAGTCAGAAAGACAAACATATAATGTGCACCATGTAGAAAAAAAAGATAGAGGTAAAGAAAAGTTATTAAGATGACACTAGTTGAAAACACGTAAGTATAAATAGTCTACATATTAATACAGTTCAACAATGACCAACTTGTATAAAGAGATTCTAAAGTCAAACATATCAGTAAAAATATAAAAAAAACAAGGACAACTAATCTTGAAATCGACAAGACCATACCAAGTGTTAGAATAACATACATGAGAATCCCAGTTAAAATTACAGCAGATTTCTTATCAAAAATTATGAAGGGCAAAAGTTAGTCATTATCCCTATAAAATAAATTTCTGTAAGATATGTTCAAAGTCGTTGAAATAAAAGTTCCTATCAATAGTATCATTCATAACAATAGCAACATTGACTTTCAAAAATTAAAGTGAAATAATGAAGACATTTCAAAATAAAAATAGATAATTTCTTGATAGCAGACCCACTTAAAGGAAAGCTATGCAAATGGTTTTGGCAAAAAGTAAGAGGCAACAGATAATAATAATTTACACATATATACACATACAGAGTTCACCAGTAAGGATAATTATGCTTTTTAAAAAGACATGAAATTTTTCTTCTTCTTGTATCTGCTATAAAAACCATTTAGATAGATGATAGGTAGCTAGATGATATATATTTTTTTTCTGTAGCAATCATCTATCACTCTACACTGAGTGAGCACTAATATAAAATGATAAATGAATATTTTTCTAATTTACTGACACTATAAATTATTGAATAAACTACAGTAAAATACCATTGTAATACTCATACCACAGAAGTAGCAAATTTTAAAAATATGTTCATACTTATTGCAAAAAAGCTATGTGCCTTTTTGTTTTAGTAATGGGATTGTATATCTCCTTAAATGCGATCAAAACTCTGCTTATATGATGTGGTTATGACACTTCTGGGAGATGGGGAAATGTGCCATAACCTAAGACAGGAGACAAACATTTCTATAGCATGACTTTTAAAACATTTCTATGTCTGACATTTTCCAGGAGAGGTAAGTATAACTAATCAGAACATACCAAGATTTGGAATAAAGGTAAAAACAGACTTTCGATAGTTGTTCCTTTTGTTCGCTTTATTCCTTTCTTCAAATAGTAACATCTAAATGGACAATACATCAACCAATGACATTAGAAGTGGAACTTTATGAATTCTTAAGGTTAATACATTGGTTGTACTTTTTAAAGATCTTATTTTAGTGTTGTATTAATTTCCATCCCTTTAAAATTTTATAGTTTTCTTGATTAAACAATTTACTTCTTATAAAATCTTAACCAGATAATGTCAAATTCATTCAAATTAACTAATTTTTAAAAAGGAAACACTGTGAAATACTTATGGGTGTGTCTGCATTCTTAAAGGATATTGACTTTTCACACATCTAATAAAACGGAAGGAGAAACTCCTGAAACTGTCTGCTGACTGCTTTGCTCTGGGAATATACTTCATTGCCCAGTATTTTCATGCAATCAGAATTGTATGCTGATCTTCATTATCTTGCCTGAATCTCATTCTACTTCATGACTTCTATTTCTACCAAGATGTCATTATTGAGAATTGTCATATTTGTCTTTTTATGATCCATATCTATCAGTTCCCTTTTCAAAGTTGATTTCTTAACATTCCCTGTTTTCTAATGTATACTTTTAACTTGATTGCCTTGTATTAAAGGCACAAACTTCCAATTTTGCAGTAGCTTTCCAGCTAACACTTCTTCCTCTAATTTTCCTTTTCTTCAGATGTCTTTATTCCACCAAAAATCATAAAATTTTACTGCTTTCACTGCCATTTCTCACTAAAAAAAAAAAAAAAAAAGTAGGCCCTCCCTACACAATAGCTTTATCTTATTTTATAATTGAAGGCAAACACAGCCCCTGTGCGTCTGGCAGTTACTCCTCTTCTGCATGTATATAAAAAAAAATTAAAAAAAAAAAAAAAAAAAGTTGTTGGGTCCATACTATCTAGATTAAGTCCAAACTCTTTATATCACTTTCAATACCCACCTTTCTCCCCTCCCAAATTTGATGAGAAACTACTTTCCTTGCTCTCCTATATCACCTTTGCATAAATATTAACTCCTTTTAGCCTTATTCGAGTAATTCCCTGCATTTAATTTCTACTTTGGTGTCACACATTTTCTCATTTCATGTCTTCCTTGCTGTCACTTCCTCCCCCCACCCCCATCAGCCTATTCTTTGATGTCATAACTTATTTGGAGGGGCATTATGAACAACTCATTTTATCCTAATTTTTCTTAGCGTTCAGTTTTATACATACCCATATTGTTGATGAGATCATTACTTGCAATACAACCTTTATCAGGATGTGTGTACAATAACGCTGCTAGTCTTGATGTTAACCCTTACTCTGTCATTCCCACTATTATTGAGGAGGTATCTACTCAAGAAAATATTTTAACAATGTATTTTTTAAGAATTACAAATGCAAATATTTTAAATATTTTGTTACATTAAAAATGTCAATTTTGTGTGCTTAATAGTGTTAGGATGTGGAAAGAAACGTGTATTTTTTTCTGTTCACCTTAAGTGTGACAAAATTGTTCCAGTGCAGCCAATAAATTAGTATCCTCCCTAGTGTGTGCCGAGAAATGCACATATAATAGACACGAGTCTATAGTCCATAAATTTCGATATTCCTTTAATACTCAAGAAAGTATTCTAAAGAAATTGACACCTTTAAAAGAATAACTGCTCGATTTAAATAGCAAATATGAAGAAACAGCAACTTTGATCTAAAAAGGTAAAAGGTAAATTTCTTTTCGTGATTGATGTCACTAAACTTGCTTTTTACATCCTCTCAATGCGAAAACTTTCAAAATAATGCACAGCACCAGACTAAAATCACTAGGAAGAAAACGAAACCCAACCAAAATAAAACAAAACACTGGTTTGCACATTAAACCATTGAATCTCAAGTGTTAAAATGTAAGAGGTTTATTCTCCTTTTATCAAGCAATGTCTACAGACAGAGCATCCACAAGGTGTAGGCTACCAAAGAGGAATGAATGAGAGAGACTTACATTAAATCGTTAGGTCACAGGAACTTTATATGGATCATGATCACAAGGGAAAAAACTGCTAGAAAGGAAAGCAGATTCAATAAGTAGAAACATAAGCTGTCTTCTTGTTTATTAAATCTACGTCCCATTTTGTTTTAAGCTAAGAAGAAATCTACTGTATCACACAGCTCAGGATGCTATATACACATAAGATATTACACACTATAAAATTTCAGTTTTCTAAGCAGTTTTACACAATTTACTTGAATAAAATTTGTATTTAAAAAAGACCTTATTGGATTACCTTCAGTAAATGGAGGTCATTTCAACAGCCACTAGCAATTTTAGTAACAATAAAACAAAAATAAGTAAAAGATTCTCAAAACATGTAGGCTATTACTTTAAGCCTGGTAATTATCTGCTTATTTCAATAAACCAACTCCAGATTTAATCCACTTCTACTGGCTTTTTCTTTGCACCCCCCTCTTTTTTTTTTTTTTTTAAGAAGCAATCATTTTTTACTTCTCTGCAGTGTCTCATATAAGAGGATTAGTTAAATTTGGAACTACAGCACACAGTTAGTGAGAGGGTCATTTAAGGATTATGCAGGATTTGAACAGAAGTCATTAAGGAAAGTTATTAAGAAATGAAGTTTGTTGATGGGTTATATTTAAATAGCAAAGGCAATTGGGGAAGTCTCTCTTTACTCTCCACTGTGGGACTGTTCTCTTATTCCTTTCTTGTTAGTAATTTTCCTAAACTACTAATATTCATCAATTCTTTAGCCAGCTTTCTCTCTGTGTTGTTAACTTACCTATATGTGGTTTTAGTCTAAGCAGATACAAATGCTGTTACATTTTTAGAATAAAAAAATTCTTCTGATGCAATACTGGACTACATGAAAAGGGAAAAAAAAATCTGTTCTGGTAATAATAAATATCTGTAAGCAGTTGACATTCCAGACAAACTTGCATTACAAAAAAATAACACAATCTAGTGACTAAAAGCAAAATTAATAGAGAATACATTGCAAACATTTCACCGTAATTATTTTTCCTTTCCTCCTCCCCATTTTCCATAGCAAGCTGCAGATTATACAGTATATGTGTCAAATAGAGTTTGTCATTTGTATACAACGTAAGGCCAATTTAAGCCTTCAAATGATATTTCACTAAGGGTTTAATAAATGAGTGAAGGCAGGAATTGGTGCAAGAGATATTAAATTTCTCTCCTTGAAAGATAAGATATTTATAGTTAGGAGGGTGTCGATATGCAGCTTTTAGCCTTCCTTTTTCCCCTTGTGACATTCCTTTCAAGGCACAAAAGATTATTAACAGTGAATGGGACAGAATATTTTGAATTAACAATCTTGAGGTTCTGCAATTCCTTTTATTTCTGGCTTAAGCATACCAAAAGGACAGAGAAAAAAAAAAAATAGATAAGCTACCCTCAAAATGAAGCAATACTAAAAGTCATCTGTATTTCCCTGCAGTTATTTTGTAAGTATTTAAATTTCTATTTTATTGACTTCAACATAATTCTATATTTGATTCTTGTGGTTGATGCATTTTCTTATTAAAACTGTGTTTTATGTTTCTAGCCAACCAATATTACTAATTGGGCATGTCTCTTTGCCAAAACAAAACAAAACAAAACAAACAAACAAAAAAAACTATTTTATTTGGGCCAACCAAGTAACTTATGTTTGACTAGGCTATAAACTTGAAAAGTTAAGCTGTAAATTTGAAGAATGGATTAAGTGCAATGTACTGGAAAACCCTTCATCCAATAATCATCTACTAGGACTCCTAGGCATCTCCAACCCAAATGACTGTGTTTCCTTTCTCAACTTCAGTGATCTCACAGTTTAACTTATTGAGTCGTCCATCTAGTATAAAGAGAGAGTCCTTGGAAGGGGTCATCAGGTATTGACCAAACAAGCCACTGCCTTGGATTTGCCTGTTCTTCCGGTTCCAAGGCCATTCTTCTGCATTCAGCGGTTCTTTAAGGCTCTTTATCATCTTGACTTTTCCAGAGGCCAGCTCTACAAAGAGCACATCCGTTTGTGTGCTTGAACTACCGTAGATGTTGTACTGGTGGGCTTCTGTGAAGGACGGCTGAAATGCCAGATCAGATATGTGCAGATTTGTGTGAATATCAAAAGCCTCTTGGATTTCTCCTCTGATAGTAATGTACTGGACCCTCACAAGGCCTTTGACATCATTAACGCTGACAAGATAGTGCCCATCTGGAGAGACATATGGAGTGCCTGTCACATCACTATTGAAGCCAAGGACTGAGTCAGTTACACTGTCCACCATGAGCTGTAGTGGACCTGCTCCAGTGCTGTCCGGCTGGCATCCAATAAAGTAGTATCCTCCCAAGTGTGTATATGCCAAAGATTGAGGAACACACTTGTAGTCCTTCAAGTTAATTGTCTTGATGTATGACATGGTTTCAAGATCAATTTTTTGGAGTGCAGCTTCATCTTTATGGAGAATAAATCCAAACCTGAAAAGATAAAAACCAAAGTTAGACAGGAAACTCTAGAGTAGTTGTGTCAGAAATAGATTGTGGCCAGATGGAAAGAGCCATTGCAAGTCCAGGTAGCAACTGCTAGGTGACGGAGCAATTTGTATCACAGTTTTGTCACAGATACACTTTAAATGTGGGCTTTGTACTGCCCTCCTTCTCTGTCTTCTTTCGCTATAAGTAAACAAGCACAATTCACGCTATAGAAAGCAAAATAATTAAAAGCAATACATCCAGTTAATTGGAACAACACATTTTTCTTTTACCATAGTGTGCAAAAAAAAAAATAATTTACACATCTTTAAATCTTCTGATGTTTATAAACTTGATACTAAAGCCAAAAATAATACATTTGATTACATGTTACCTTATGTTTTCTTATGATTATCAAATAAATCAAACATTCACCACTATTTAGATAATTATCTTCATCTTTCTTATTTTAGTCCACCCCTTGGGAATTACTTGATACATTTTCTTTTTTTTAAGTTGGCATAGAACTACTAGATTTTCAGTTTTATGTATTACTTCAGTGTCACTTTGAGTGACTACATTTATGATTTTATAATAAAATACATTTAGAGCTCTCCCTGGTGGCACAAGGGGTTAAAGCACCACATTATGAAGTTCTCCAAAGCCACCCCAGCACCAGTTCGATCCCCCGCCAGGGAGCTGACACACATGGCATGGCAGACCTCTCTTGACCCACTCGCTGCTCCTCTCAGCAGCGTAATTCAGTAGATCTGCCGGTTCTATTCCCCACTCTGTCTCTGGTGAATCTTCTCACCCACCCACCACACCTCTGGTCTGTACCCCAGTTCTATAAGAATAAATAAATCTTAAAAAAAAAATACATTTATAGATGCATTACATTTTTCAATTGTGGCATGCTTATATTAATATTATTTAAATGATATGACTATATTATATTGACTAAATTATTTCAAAAATGATGAAATGTAAAGATTGATATTTTTATTAAAATATTAAAATATCAATTAAAATAAATACTTCTTTTTGTTTTGGTTATCTCATTAATTACTTTAGTGCTTTTCAAGGAATTTGTTCTGAATAAAAGCTGAAAATTATGGCCCTCCCTGGTGGTGCAGCGGGTTAAAACACTGCACTAAGAAGCTAAAGCCACTTCCGCATGAGTTCGATTCCCGCCTGCCCCGGAGGTGACCACATGGTGTGGCAGACCTCTCCTGACCCGACTGCTGCTCCCCTCAGCAGTGTACTTCGTCGATCTGCCTGTTCTGCTTCCCGCTATGTCTCTGGTGAATCCTCTCACCCTCCACATTTCTGGCCTGTAACCCAGTTCTGTATGAATAAATAAATAAATCTTTAAAAACAAAAAAGCTGAAAATTATTAAAAGTCCCTGTGACAAAGGTAAATAAATTTTGAAAACTTGACTCTTGATTTTTACTAATGATATTGTATCAAAGCACCTCCTAATATTTCAAAAGTTCCATAAAAATAAACATTAGAGAAATATCAATGCATTGTGCTCATAATTTAAAAGATATGTCAAATATTGTAAAACAAAGCAAAGTAAAACAAAAATACAAATCTCTACATATAACCAATTGTGTTACCTAGAGCCAGGATACTAATTACTACAGATTTATTAATTCAAGAATGATACTTTACACACAAAAATTCAGAAATATGAGACATTCGATTTAATAGTTCCTAAAAGTTTCAAATATAAACAGATGAAAAATAAAAGGCTAACTCAATGCATCTAGAATATCATAGAAAAAATAAGATGTCAAACAATCACAGTTGTGTGTTGTATAAGGTAGGGAGCACATAAGCAATTATTTTACTAAAATAGACATAAAACTGCAATCATTTCTATGGTATTACATTCATACAGTAAGAAATCACATTATAATTTTTGCTATATTTAAATATTTGTGGTGAGATGTTACTTATCACGGGAGAGAGCATTACTATTATATTCTCTGTATATACTTGGCATGACAAAGTGATAATTTTGAAAATAATATCCTAGTGTGTTTCAGCATGATGTATATAATATCTGATTTAATTTCCAGATCTTTATTTTCACCTGTGCTTTTAATAACTGTATTTGTGTCTTCTCAGTAAACACAGCTCATAATTTTAGTTCCAAATATGCTAGGAAAAGAAAGTTTCATAATAGCAATCACTTCTAGATGTTCGCATTAAAATTTTAATGCTTGGTACAGGTTTTAAATGGTTTCTGAATATTAAAGAATAAAAAAACTCAAATGGAAAAGTAAGTCCCATTACTTTTGTGTGACAGCATCAAAAATACTGTAAAATCCAAAATATTACTATCCAATCTCTTACTTGTCTTAATAATTAACTCTTTGCAAAGGGAAGCTTTTTCATTAATGACTAATCATAAAGATATGTAGGTATGTAGCTATATGAATATGTTTGCTGTTATTTGTGAACTTATGAATTATGACATTGTCTTTTCACTTAAACATTGTTCATGTGCCAGAGGCAAAAGCAATAATATGTACATTGAATAAAAGCAATAAGCCAATCCAGTTTTGGCATTTCAGCTCTCCTCTTAACCTTGAATCTTCTAGTCCCTTTTGGGCAATGGCTTTTGAATACTAATGAGGACGAAAAAGAGCAGCTCTCAGTTCTAACTACTCTTGAACTATTTTAACTCTAATACTAAAGAATGCACTCAAGCTTCTGTGATATAATCTAGCCTCTTTTGGAGGTAATTAAAATTTAAAAAAATGATCCAGATAAAAATGCAAAAGCTCCACGTGGGGTGATAAAATTTTATCTATTTCAGCATCCACACTTATGCTCCTTTAGGACTAGAGATCTAGCTACATAAGCAGATGCATGAGAATGCCTTCAATTTTTCACTACTGATTTATTGAGTAGTAAGTAGTGTCTCTAATTCAAAATTTCCCTCTAGTATAGATTGATATTCAGAAGTCTCCCACTGTTCATTAGTCTCTGATTAATATTTACGAGGCTCTCAACTTTCATGCCTGCTTAGTATAATAAAATCTTGCACAGTACTAGACCTAACATAGTTTGTCTAATATTTGTCAGGATGTGTACAGAAAATTGCAGACTGTGAGGAATGAGAGAAATTTAAACTTGATCTTGAAATCATTAATTTAACAAAGAAATTAATGAAAACAGTACAGTATGGCCTCAGCATGGCTTTGTATAGATTTGACAAAGAAAGTAAAGTGGGATTTTTTTTCCCAATGATTTTATTTTGGTGAATAGTTAATCATTATAGTTCATTATATTGCTCATAGAAGGTTTAACTTTAATTGTTGCTATTATGTTTTAAGGTGAGGTTCTGAAGTGATTCATAAACAGAGAAGTTATTTTGGAAAAATAAGGTTTTTCAATCTAGATTGATCAAGTTTCATGATACAGCTTTACAATAGAATAGATATGTGATCTCATGTAAAATCCTTGACTTATAGGAGTACATCAATCTCCTCATCAGTAAGAAGGCGAGAATACATGTGTATTTCAAAACAAGGAGATTCCCAATAAATTAGACCTTGCCCATGCTTATACCTTAAGAAATTTATCATCCCATTATCAATCAAATAAGATATTTCCTATGGCACAAAAGATCATTTTGATTCATGAATTGGAAAAAAAATATTTTCTGTACAGCAACTTTTCCCATACATTAAAAATAAACATGGATTTACTCAAAGGTGAAAAGATTTTCCTAGTCAAGAATTCAACAGATATTCTCACAATAGAGAATAAAATATCACTTTTTAAAATTTTGCTGTCACTAGTAACAAGAGGATCTATGTTCAGTTCGCACCTTACCCAATTACCAACCCCCTCACATTATTCAGAGTGAAGGTAGTTTAGCTCACTCCATCTTCTTAAAAGGTGGCACTTCAGCTATTAGTGAGGGCCCGGAGCAACAAGCCAGGACACAGCAGGCCAGGATACATGTGATGAACTTGAGTTCTACACAGGTGATGTAGTTTGAAATAGATTCCTGACTCATTTAATAAAATACTCAATAAAATTAATGAAAAAAATTGTGGCTGACTTTCAGAGCTGGATATATAAGGAACAGAGAGTTATAGCCAAATTTTATCTTATGACAATTCAAGAGCCTTGCAAAGAAAGCTATTTGGCAGAGAATCAGGTATTTAGAAAGCAGCATGGTTGAGGTACCATGAAGCCCAGTAAAAGAGTAACTAATCAAAGACCTCCGAATGCCTGCATTTCTTGCATTTGAGTAATGAGTAATCTCCTGCTTCCCTCACTTACACAGTCCCCAAATAGCTCTGATCATGCAGAGTCTCATACAGCACTTTGTGGTCACCTCCCAGCATCTGCCAAGCTATTCTGCTTCTGTCCTGTTTTCCAATCTATCACCTGAGAGGATACTGAAGGTGTCTCATAATTGCAGTCCATGACTGTATTAACTTGCCATGGTAAGTGCCAAGAGTACTTACCCCGCGGTCTGCAATTAAGAAACAAGAATGTTTAAACAATAAAACAAAAGTGAAAGTAAAATAAAGAAACCTGTAGAATAACAACTATCTTCTGATTCTTAATGGAACACTGTTCTCAGAAAATCCAGCTTCTCACCTCAACAATTCTCTTCACTGCTGACTTTTAATATTTAACCACTGAGGATGAATCCCCTCACTCCAGGCTGGGAAGTGTGCCAGCTGCTGTCTCGCCATTCCTGCATCATCTCTGTCCTCAAACTTTCTCATTTCTGCAGATTTTAAAACCAGTCTTACCATGTACATAGTGGACGCAAATAGGTCATCAATGGAGAGGAGTCTATTTTAACATTGGATTAGCCAGACATTCTATCTTGTAAAAGCATGCTTGCTACAACTCACATATAAAACAATAGTGTTTGTCAAAGTATTTCTGATGTCTATTATAGAAACCAAACTCTTTGAAATATTAAGTCCCAGGACAAATGCAGTCTTTTGCAGCCCAAGGAATT